TGTTGCCCAGACTGGAGTGCAATGGCACGATCTCGGCTCACCGCAACCTCCGCCTCCTGGGTTCAAGCAATTCTCCTGCCTCAGCCTCCCGAGTAGCTGGGACTACAGGCACGCACAAGCATGCCCAGCTAATTTTTGTATTTTTAATACAGACGGGGTTTCACCTTGTTGACCAGGATGGTCTCGATCTCTTGACCTCGTGATCCACCCGCCTCGGCCTCCCAAAGTGCTGGGATTATAGGCGTGAGCCACCGCGCCCGGCAACTCGGCCTCTTATTAGCAAATGCACTCCAGGATGTGCCCAGTGTTATCCTGCCCCAGCTACATACGACAGTTACACACTTAAAGGGGGGAATAACTAAAATGAGGAAGCTAAGAGAGTCTGTCCGGCTCAAGAAGCCTGAACAGCTCTCAGCTAAGAAAGAGAGAGTCAGTTTAAGCTAACAAAAAGCAGGTTATCACAGGACTTTCTCCATATTGGCCAGGCTAGTCTCGAACTCCTGACCTCGGGTGATCGGCCCGCCTCAGCCTCCCAAAGTGCTGGGATTACAGGCGTGAGCACCGTGCCCTGTCGGGCCTGGCTTTTCTCAAGGTAAGTATGTGTGCGGTTACGAGGAACCATCCAGTCATTTCCCCAGCAGAGTGAAGCTAAGAATGCACTTCACAGTCGCGAGGGCCACAGACTCCTCTTGCTAGTTATTCATGGTTAAGAAGCAACATCTGGGACAAATTGGCCTCGTCTGGGATTTCAGCGAGGACTTGGTGCGAATTCCAGCCAGAGCCGTATAAAGTATCTTGGGCAGGTCGAAATGCACCCCTCTGGCTCCCAGCCACGAGGGGGACCCGGCTTCCGTCTCTGCAGCTCCCGCCAAAGGAGGCCACCGCTGTCCCGCCACGCCGCGGAGGGGTTGCAGGGTCCCTGGCACTGCCTGGCGTTTTTCCTTTTCCCACGCCCGGGGAAGGCCTCGGGCACACGGGAACAGACTGGCTCGCGGGGGTCGGGGGGTGGTGCGCGCAGGCCGGGGGCACGATGGCAGCTGCCCTGAATCCGGCTGGGCGCTGCCCGGTCCCGTCTCCATCCGAGAGGACTGCCGCTGCCAGGCCTAGAGGAGACGTGAGGGGACCGGGCGCGGCGCGACCCAGGAAGCTCCGCCGAGGTAGGAGAGGCGCCCCGCCAGCGGAGGGAGTCGGTCTCCCAACTCTCCGGAAGGAGGAGGAGCCCGCGCCGGAGCCGCCTTAGCCGCTGCTACCGGGGCTGGGGGGAGGGAGAGGGGTTGAGTCAAGATGGCGGCCAAGGTGGGGAAGCAGCAACAGCGGCGGCGGCGGCGGCTGGAGTGAGCGCCCGGCTCGCAGCGCCGAGCGAGGTACCGGCGTAGGGCCGCGCGCTGGGGCTGCGTCCCAGTTCTCAGGCCGGGGCGCACGTCGGCTCCCACGCTCCGCCAGCTCCCAGTGAGTAGGCCCTGGAGCCTGCAACCCCGGCCTCCGGGCTCCTGCTAGTCCGGGGGCTTCCGAGGGCTCCCGGGGCAGAAGCCCCTGGGACTGCTTCTCCGCCGTGCTGGGGGTGTTGCAGGCCTGGCCAGGTCGGGACCTGTCCTGGCCGCCAGCCTATTCCCCTCGGCGGCGCAGGGGAGAGCCGGGCGCGGCGGGGAGCTCTGGCTGGGCTATTGGAGGCTTACGGAGTTTGGAGGAAGAATGGGCTGTGGCCGGGCCGGCGCCGGCCCCGAGGTGTCCTGTACGGAGGGGCGTGCGGAGCCTTGCAGGGCTCCCGAGGGAGAGCGGGCGGCCGGGGCCCCGGGTGGGGCCGGCGCAGGTGGCGGGCCTGGGCTCACTGAGGCGGAGTTGGTGGCCGACTTGGGAGTATAGAAGGAGCTACGGAGGGTGACAGCCGTGACAAGTGCGTGCAGAGTAAATTAGTTCACCTTTCTAACAGACCGCTTCAGGGTGTAATGGCGAAGGTTAGGTACTGGTAGAGATGGCCAAGATCCGAACCCTATACCCTCTAACGTTTATTGTTGGTGGTTTCTTGTGCGAAGTCCGTGAGTGTACCCCTTTTTGGGTAGAGAGGGATGTGAGAAACTATAGTTGAAAATCAGCCTTTATGGAGAAGAGACTGAATTATTCAAATTAACTGGATCAGGAGTAGTCATGTATTAAAGGAATAGATGGGAATAAGTGATATGGACGAAAACTATTTGCTCAGGAAGTGTCAGTTTTCTTTATGTGATGTTGCATGCCGCGGTGCCTCTTCAACAGAGTTAACCTTGGAGAGTAGTGGCATAGGTAATTCTAATCTTTGGGATTAGTATGTAAACCTGCATTAGATTTACTTCTCTAATTATATCCTAATTATATTGAAATTTACATTCCTTGTGTGCACTCCGGTGAGGCAATGATGGAAGGCTGAACATGGCAGTGTGCAAGGAGCAACAGGCCCAGGACTTAAAAATGCCTGCAAACATTCATTCATTCGTTCAACGTACCTTGATCGATAGCTGCGGATGCTGGGTCACATGTGATTGTCCTGTGGATAACTGAAGAGTTGATGGCATTGTTTAATTTTTAATAGCTTTTTGAAATGTTTTATGTACCTTTTCATGAAGATATTTATTGGATGAACCAACCTGTACTTGCCCGGGCTCAGGAGCAGACCAATTTTAGAATGTTATTTAGACATGGGTAACAATTACAGAAGTAACCACAAGTTACTGGAGAGAGAAATCTTGTATCTTATTTTCTCATTCTGTTAACATCCGGTGGAAGTTTATTTATTTATTTTAATATTTATAGTACCCAGTTGCTTGGCCTTGCTTTGAGCACACCTGTTAATGGAAATCAAGATTAATTGTATATATGGATATAGCTATGTATAAAATACACTAGGAACTGATTACTTACAATACTAAAATACTCTTTCCGTTTACAAGACTTGCCATATGTTGAACTACTCCCCCGGCCTGGAGAAAATATATATAAAGACACTTCATTCTTCCTGTAACAATGTGACATTTTGGAACATGATCAACCTTTCTGTGCTTCAGTTTCCTCATCTTTAATATTAGGTAAACATCTGTTCTCCTAGAGTTGGCTGTTGTGAGCCTAAAGGGAGTTAATAGTAAATTGTTTTAAACAGATTGAAGGGGTTATATATCTGTGAGGTGGTAACAGCTCCCTCTGGGCTCCTGTAGTGCTTTTTCTGCACATGTCTTATGGCATTTACACTTCGTATCTTGTAGGTATTTATGTACCTATTTTATCTCTTCGAGAGCAGGATAGGCCCTTCTCTAATTTTATCTTTAAGGAACCATGTGGTGGTGGAGGGGGAGGGGAAGGGGGGAGAGAGAGGGTGGGGGAGAGAGAGAGAGACAGAGAGATTGACACTGCAAATTTTTGTTGAATGAATAAACATAGGATTCTAATTAGAACAACTTATTCACATTACATTTTATCAGAATACACCTGTTATCTGCTGTAACATATCTATATAGCTGTGATTCTCTCCATGGCCTCTAGATGAATATATATACATATATATCTATTTTGAGACGAAATCTCGCCCTGTTGCCCAGGCTGGAGTACAATGGCGTGATTGGCTCACTGCTACCTCCACCTCCCAGGTTCAAATGATTCTCCTGTCTCAGCCTCCTGATTAGCTGGGATTACAAGTGCATGCCGCCACCATCCCCAGCTGATTTTTGTATTTTTGGTAGAGACAGGATTTCACCATGTTGGCCAGGCTGGTCTTGAACTCCTGACCTCGTGATCCGCCTGCCTCAGCCTCCCAAAGTGCTGGGATTACAGGCATGAGCCACTGCGCCTGGCCTATTTTTAATTGAATAGCTTGCTGAATTTAAAAAACAGTAAAATTTGTGTTTTGCCTACCCTGTTAATAAAAAAAAAAATAATGAAATCAATGTATAGGCAAGTTAGTTAATAACTTTCTTAAAGCTTTTTTTTTTTTTTTT